GCGTAGATGAAAAAAGCAAGATCTCACAATACCGTTCACTTGAGCATCAAATCTGAGTTCTGCGTCCAGTTTTACCCCTAAGTTAGTGACCACCGCCTTCTGATGCGGTGCCAGAGAGGTTTGATTCAGAGTTGTTTCACGTTGCTCTTTTTCAAACGTGTGATCTGTTGGGTAACCCTGGCATTAAGCGCGCCCATGTGTGAATATTTTAAAATATTTCCATCTCAAGATCAAAGGGTCATTTTAGCACATGCTGGCTCAAGAAAATTCAAAAACATGTTTTTAAATGTTGCATAGTAAGGCTTCAAAATCTAGGATCCATTTAACATGTAAAACCACAAAGAGTCCAGGTAAATAATAACAGATTGGGCTTCAACATCAAAGTTAGTTCTTTCATAATTCATCTATTTTTTAAACATCAGTTTTCAAAGATACTGAGCGTATGAACGAGGACTTTCAAGGCACCAGTGTTCGAATCCAATGGCAGCTTCTGCTACTCGGATGAAAACCGGGGACTGAACACACACAAGGATTCTGTGCAGTCAGGAAGTTTTAAAGGTTTCCAGCATCTGCTGAACACATGGTGCAACGTTGTGTCTGACTCAAAGACACACAGAGAGTAGATTTCAAGACCTGCGGAGCTGCAGCCCACCTGCGTTTGGGACTCTAATATCACGGTCCGCTTCGATGCTAAGATCACAGCAATATTCTACACCACCCACCTTATCCTCCCGCCCTCCAACGTGTGTCCTGCTGCTCCTGGGAGTGGACTCTGAAGGCCTGTTGGTGCCTCAGAGGCTCCACTGGCACCTTTGCCTCAACAGTGGATGAGATGTGATGGTTTGGTTATTTATGGAGTGTGAAAGGAACAAAGGAAAGACTACGGGGGTGGAAGACGTGAACAGGTGTTTAACACAGGGTGTGTGGTGTGAAAATAAATGAAACTTCATATTATGAAACTAGCAACGATGCGTTTCATCCAGGTTTTTCCAGGGTGTCTTCTGTATAGGCAGAAATCATAGTTTCCAACACACACACACACACACACACACACACACACACACACACACACACACACACACACACACACACACACACACACACACACACACACACACACACACACACACACACACACACACACACACACACACACACACACACACACACACACACACACACAACCTTGCCCTCTCTTTAGACCTCTGGGCCATTTTCCCTAGAGTCCAAAGCAAAACAATCAAACCATGGACACAGGAAAGTGAACATAAATCTCCAACACAGCCACAATTTTAACAAGCTATCACTCTCAAATGTGCGTGCGCGCGCACACACACACACACACACACACACACACACAGATGGAATCTCCAAATTGTCCGAAACACAAGCAACAGCAAAGGTGCAGCTTGGGATCTAATGAAGTTTGTTTTACTTTGTCTGAATCTCTCAGGTTTACGTTTCTGCACCGCATCATCAGACTGATATCCGAGCCCCTGATGGAGACGGGGTGAACAAAAACATTGTGAAACTTGTGTTTCTTGGGAGTTTAGGAGCCATGGTTTCCCCTGCAGTCCTGCTGGATTGTTTTTTGTGGATGCAGACCAAAAGATAAAGACACGACTCGACCTCTCAGTGGACGGCCAGCTATTTGAGACCGACTCCACGAAGGCACTTGCACAGTCTGGCTTGGAAATATTTTTTTTCTGTTTTGGAAACCTGGCATAGCTTGAGTTTGCGTTCAGAAACAAAGGTCAGTTTTTCCTAGGCTGTGGTTTATTACATTTAAACACATGGACCATGTTTTAGATTTAAAGCGGCGTAAAATCGAAGCGATTCCAGTGGGGAAGCAGTGGGGATGCAATATTTCAAACAGCCTAGATCCAGAGCCAGCTAAAACGGTCGTTTGGAGGTAAACGAGGGCTTGGTCATGATCGCAGGTTCATTTGAACAGTAGGCTGTTTGTCTGCTGTCTCTAAGGCACACACACGTGTGTGTGTGTGTGTGTGTGTGTGTGTGTGTGTGTGTGTGTGTGTGTGTGTGTGTGCGTGTGTGTGTGTACATCGGTGAGTCCTCACTGTGAAAGGCCCATGTGTCTGGGTGTCAGTTACCTAATTACACCACTTACTGGCCTAATTCACACTCAAGCTCTTGTACGTATTTTAAAGAAGAAGAAAAAAGTGCATCGAGTGAGGAAATCCTCCCAACAGAGAATTGCTTGTCTTTCAGGTTTCTTGTTTGACCTTCTTTGATCCCGGTGATCCAAAAGCCAAAGCAGATTTCTGTTTTTCCCTCGGTCCAATAACAGGCATTACTTAGCAAGTTGTGACTGAATCAACCAAAGATTTCTGTTTTAAGTCTCAGCTCAGGAGATGTTTTTGAAGTGAATTAAGCCCAAACATGGTAGAAGGAAACGGGCGGTTTGGCTGGAGAATCACAGAGGACGGGGACTGATGTGGAAGTCGGAGGGTGGAGAGTGACCAGAACAGGACAGGGCAGAGCTCTCCACTTCTGTTTTTATTTGAGTTTGTTGGTATCTGACAGGAAGTGGCCGTTGCTGCCTCTATGAAAACTCTTTATTTTATCAAGCAAAAGCACAGAATGTGGTGGAGCTGATTTTATCTTCCTGTAGTCTTGATTTAACATCTCCTCTGTATTAAATCAAACAATGACTTGAGCTATTCTGCCTTTATACTTTTCTTCCTACGCTAGCCTCCTTGCCAACACCAGGGTGACATTTTTCTGTCATGAACAACTCGTGATTCTGATCCTGTGCCTCACAAACCACCGCCCAGCCGAGCGTTCATTGTTACCCGTGGTGAGTTTCACACGCACAGCATCAGGAAGTCTTCTGAGTGTCGTGAGTTCACCTTTCAGTGCAATCGTTCCTTAAACTCCTCTCCAACTATTATTGCATCAGGTTGGACAGCTCTTGCCAAGGAATCAGGAGGCTACATCTCTCAAATGTGTTGATTCAGATAAAAACGGACACTCTCAGACCTCTTTGGTCATTTCCTCCTTTGGGGCTCATTTTGTTTCACCTCTGACTCCAGTTTTTCTCACAATTACAATGCACCCCCCCACCCGCCCCATTTAGGATGCTGTGGAGCTAAGAGGAAGTTTAAATGATCACACAGTGGGGGAGCTGACTGGCTTAGAGTGGGCACGCTGTTGGCTTCATGACCTCATCTGTTTTTTTTTGTCTCTTGCTGTGTCTCGGGATGCTGGGACAACCAAATGGAAGTCCAAAATCCCAGTTAATCTTTAGCCTCACTGGGAGAGCTGGGAGCTCCACAGCCAGGCTATCTGATCATCAGCTGTCTGCTGCTGATGCCCCGCCGAGACACAAACTTCCTGTTTAGAGAAGGAGTGGGAAAACCAGAAAATCAGAGGCACCAACCTGCACGTTAGAGTTCTGCAAAAAGATTTGGCAAGATTCATCAGTGTAAATAATTAATCTGAGTTTATATCCATTAAAAAAATCTTTTTGGTGCAGATTGTATAAGTATGAATAATGACTCATTTTAACACATGATGACCAAACAAAGCACCAAACAGACTGAAAGTTGACCCAGGTCCAAGTCCAAGTTGTTGGGGACTTTCATACCACTCCAGTCAGAGGTCTGATGGTTCTCACTGGAGTTCAGTAAACTTACCAGTTCCTTGTGAACGTATTTACCATCAAAGCTGCCCAAGGAGTAAAGCAGACAAGCAGTTAGCTGCCATGATGATACCAACTTCAGGTTTCTATGAGTCTATCCCTAACACTACACTGCCCCCTTGTGGACAATTATTATAGTGCGACGAACGACTTTTTCTTCAAATATATTTGTATTGTATTTAAAAACCTTGTTTATATGTTACAAACAGGCTGAAATTATATCCCAAACATTACATAAACTGTGATTTATTTTATCCATTGGGTGAAATAAACCATTTTAATACAACTTGAAGCTATAAAGCAAAATACCTAGAGATTTGGTTTGTATGCAGTTATTAGTTTCTGTTGCAGCCTATGACCCAGACTCATACAAATATGTAGGACTGAAATGATTTCATCATCACTCAGATGTGTAAAAATGCACGCGCTACAGTGAGGCAATCGGGTCACAAGGTCACTGTCTGGTTGCATCACGTCTCTGGAGGAACTGCCTGAGTGGATCATTCTGAGAATATTAGTGTGATTAATGTACATTAGAGAAACTGCAGCCATGGAGGAAAATCTCTGAGGAGGATAGAAATGTGTATGAGATGGGAATGTTGGGGTCACACTTCTGCTGAAGTGCATGCACACGTAAAATAACAGACTGCTCAGAACAAGAAACTTTGTGTTTATTTTGTTAAATATTGTTTTGTTTTTATAGAAAAACTGCTGATACCAAAAATAATTTTAGAGTAAAAACCTCAGATTTATACAATCTTAACCCAATGTTTTTGTTTTCTTTTTATAAAAAGCAGCAGTCTTTATGCCATCTTTATTTTATGGAGTTCAGTAAAAATAAACCATTAGTCTCCTTTAGCATTCTAATAAACCAGAACCAGTATGATGGCGTTAATTTGCTGTAGTTTCTCCCAGCTTGATTAGTAGATTATTTGAGTGAGAACGTAATTTGAAATCCACTTATTAAACCATGTCTGCTTGATTTTCAGCATCATTATTATTTGTCAAACGTGGATTGGTGGATGTTGACTACCATCACATTGTATTGAGTATTTTTTTAAATGGAAAAGACTTGTAACATGAATCACATGGTGATAAACTGTCAGACATCGAATCACATTTTTGTGACTTTTGTTGTGATTTCAGATTCTTGTGACATCTCAGTGGTTACCATGGTGACTCACAAGCATCAGTAATTAGTGGATAAAGCATCCCAGCTGATGCAATTAAGGAAGTAACAAAGACATCCTGTACATGTGTGCTTTTAAAGTTATTAAATTGGGGGGGGGGGGGTAATTATTAATTTAAAATAAAGGTACAGCTTCATGAAATTAGAGAATTCAAGAGGAGAAATACATGTAAAAGATATAAGTGGTTGTTGATCTAGCAGATGCAGCTGGGAGAGTTCATGTGATCAGACTGAAAACAGAAAGCAAATCCAGAGTTCTCAGAAATGACAAGAGTGAGTAATAAAGATCTCGATGGCGAGACTGACTTCCGATAAACAGAAAATGAAACTGTGTCGGACTGGATTTTATGATGTCAGCAAGCATGACTTGACATTTTAGGGGGTTGTATCTTTTAAAATGAAAGCAACTTCATTAAGAAGCACACCCAGATACATTCAGTACACTGAAATCACTAAAAGCAAGTTACAAAGCACACATCTGTGTTTTATCTGGGTCTGACTGAAACAGGTAGTGCTTCCTGCCACAACACAGTGGTGGCTTGTGGTTCCGTTCCCAGTTCCTGATTCAGATCCTAGGTCAGCCACACTGTCATGGTGTCTGAACACGGCCACTCATGTGAATGTGGCTGTTTGTTGTGCTACACATTAAATCCGTGAGAAAAGACAAAAATTAAAAACACGTATGCTAAATTGAACTTGCTCTTCTGAACTTTATTAGTTTACTGACAAACTACAGATTACAAGACACAGCCATTTACTACTTTATGAATAGGTTAATAAGTTACTATGGTCTGAATATTTGTCCTTTCAAAAAAGACACTCTAGTATAGTGTAGGACTTATCTAATTCCTGAAATATTTGTCCTTTTGAGGTTTTCCAGACCAGCTTCCACTAACATTTTTATTTTATTTAGTAATCAGCCTACAAACAAACTTGTTGGATTGGAACATTTTAGCAACCTTTGTCTTGGTTAATACATCCCTTCTTTGTATTAAATTAATTTATACCAAACACAATTTGATTGTTTGCCATTATGTAATGTTGAATATGAGATTTTTAACGTGCTTGTTCTTCAGTGTTGGAAGAAGAAGCAGAAGAAGGAGGAGGAGGAGGAGGAGGAGGAGGAGGAGAAGCAGCAGAAGCAGAAGAAGAAGTAGAATAAGAAGAAGCAGACGTATAATATGAAGAAGCAGAAACAGAAGGAGCAGAAGAAGCAGCAGAAGGAGAAGCAGAATAAGAAGAACAAGAAGAAGCAGCAGAAGCAGTAGAAGCAGAAGATGATGAAGCAGAAGCAGCAGCAGAAGAAGAAGCAGAAGTAGAATAAGAAGAAGCAGCAGAAGGAGACAAAGCAGAATAAGAAGTAGAACAAGAAAAAGCAGGAGAAGAAGCAGCAGAAGCAGAAGATGATGAAGCAAAAGTAGAAGCAGAAGGAGAAGCAAGAGAAGCAGCACAGAAGAAGTAGAAGCAGAAGAAGACAAAGCAGAAGCAGAAGTAGAATAGGAAGAAGCAGAAGGAGAAGAAGCAAAAGAAGAAGAAACAGAAAAAGGAGAAACAGAATAAGCAGTAGAATAAGAAGAAGCAGGAGAAGACAAAGCAGAAGCAGAAGAAGCAGAAGTAGAAGCAGAAGAAGAAGAAGAAGCAGCAGAAGCAGAAGTAGAATAAGAAGAAGCAGGAGAAGAAGCAGCAGAAGTAGAAGCAGAAGAAGCAGAAGTAGAAGCAGAAGAAGACAAAGCAGAAGCAGAAGTAGAATAAGAAGAAGCAGGAGAAGAAGCAGCAGAAGCAGAAGTAGAAGCAGAAGAAGACAAAGCAGAAGCAGCATAAGAAGAAGCAGGAGAGGAAGAAGCAGGAGAAGAAGCAGTAGAAGCAGAAGTAGAAGCAGAAGGAGACAAAGCAGAAGCATAAGTAGAATAAGAAGAAGCAGGAGAAGAAGCAAAAGAAGAAGAAACAGAAAAAGAAGGAGAAGCAGAATAAGAAGTAGAATAAGAAGAAGCAGGAGAAGACAAAGCAGAAGCAGAAGAAGCAGAAGTAGAAGCAGAAGAAGAAGAAGAAGCAGAAGCAGAAGATGATGAAGCAGAAGCAGCAGCAGAAGAAGAAGCAGAAGTAGAATAAGAAGAAGCAGCAGAAGGAGACAAAGCAGAATAAGAAGTAGAACAAGAAAAAGCAGGAGAAGAAGCAGCAGAAGCAGAAGATGATGAAGCAAAAGTAGAAGCAGAAGGAGAAGCAAGAGAAGCAGCACAGAAGAAGTAGAAGCAGAAGAAGACAAAGCAGAAGCAGAAGTAGAATAGGAAGAAGCAGAAGGAGAAGAAGCAAAAGAAGAAGAAACAGAAAAAGGAGAAACAGAATAAGCAGTAGAATAAGAAGAAGCAGGAGAAGACAAAGCAGAAGCAGAAGAAGCAGAAGTAGAAGCAGAAGAAGAAGCAGAAGCAGAAGAAGAAGCAGCAGAAGCAGAAGTAGAATAAGAAGAAGCAGGAGAAGAAGCAGCAGAAGCAGAAGTAGAAGCAGAAGGAGACAAAGCAGAAGCAGAAGTAGAATAAGAAGAAGGAGAAGCAAAAGAAGAAGAAACAGAAAAAGAAGCAGAAGGATTTTAACCCTTTGATGCATAATGGTCACTACAGTGGACAGGTACTCAAAATTGTTATTTATTTATTTTTGCTGTTAAGCACAGCTGTTGAAGACTTTATTGCATTTGAGCCCCTCCATTTGTACTTCAGTAAGTCAAGCCAACATATTTCATGTTCAGAATGCACGCTGTCCACTGAGGTGGACATGTAATAAACTATGTGTAGATTAAATGTTACAAAAAATATGTAAATATGAAATTTGTTTCATTCACACCTAAAGATGAATGAAAAAAATTGTTTTAAAAAATCATGGTTGAAGATTTCATAATTCATGCATCAAAGGGTTAAAAATGTAACGCCTCTAGACAAAAATCGCAAAGTGCTTCACTAGAAAAAATACACGTTGATTTAAAATTATGATAAAAATTGGTGAAAAGAAATTAAGATTAAAAATAAAAATCGGAGGCAAAAAAATACAGAGTTGACAGAAACAGCAAGATGAAGAGAAGTGAGGAAGATAAATAGGAGGTCACGTGACAGCCAGCCTGAACAGGTGAGTTTTCAGCTGCTTTTTTAAGAAGACCACTGAGTCCACTGATCTCAGGCTCAGGGGGAGAGAGTTCCAGAGTCTGGGGGCCACAGCAGCAAATGATCTGTCACCTTTGGTCTTTAGCCTGGTGCTCTGCACAACCAGCAGGCTTTGGTCACTGGACCCCAGGGACCTGCTGGGGGTGTATGCAAAGGCGATGGTTTGTTTTTAAAACTGGTGGGAACAATATACATAAGTGTGGTTTGGAGACTGGTGGGGACAATTATTTTTAATTCATATATAAGTATTGGTTTGTATGATGTTTACTTACAACCACGATGTATTGACAGGTGTTTGAAACTGGAGTTTTATTAAATAAATAAATGCTAAAGGTGTCATGGTCTGCATCTGTGTCTTTCCCCATGTGTCTCCTGATGTTCTCCATCCCTCTCTAGATTCCCCTTTTGTGTCTCATAGCGCCCTCACGTGTCCTTTGTCTGCATCTCATTTATGTATCTTCTGTTTGTACATACAAACATACTTAGGAGAAACCGAACGCCAACTCAACACACGAACAATAGAACATAGAAAGGAGTGCGAGAAAGAGGCAAGTCGAAAACACACGAGAGCAGCAAAAGAAGAAGCAGAAAGTACAATAAAGTAGTCAGCCGTAACAGATCACTGCACAAGAGAAAACCATATAATGGACTGGGACAAGACACGGATCATAAACACCGAACAACAAAAATACAAAAGATAGATAAAAGAAGCAATCGAGATGAGGAGACGTGGATGTGGGACCATGAACAGGGATGATGGAGTTTACACGTTGGACCGCGCATGGGACTGCATCGTCGGAGAGGGGAGAGCGAGCAGCAGAGGGCGACAACATCCTCTGCTGCCCGCGGATAAACGGAGAAGGAAGTGACGCCACCATCAGCGTCAGCCTGAGGAAGTCTGCAGCTGCAGACGAAACGTAGCGACAAAACAGGTAACGAAACTGTTTCTGTGTTTTAAAAAGAACGACAGCATGGAATTAGAAATGATTATATTTTATTCCCTCCATATTTTGAACATATCATCTTTAGCCCTACTCCATATGGGAGAAACTAAATGAACAGCGTCTGGAACATTTACTGAAAGATTTCATTTATATGTCAAATCCATGTTATAACTTTGTGAATTCATGAAGAACTTTTGGCTAAAAGAGGGAATCTATTAACTTGCACAAGTCACATTTGATCAAAAAGTATTTTATTCATGCAGTTTATAAAGCTGTTATACTAATACTTATTAACTTAATGTAATTTAAAGAAAAGTAAAAACTAATGCGTTCTCTTTCTTTTTGAATCTTTATAAGCTTGAAGTGGCTCTGGCATCTGATTGGGATGCCTCCTAGATGCCTCCCTGATGAGGTTTGCCCAGCATGTCCAACTGGGACAAGGCCTAAAGGAAAACCCAGGACACATTGGAGGGACTATGTCTTTCATCTGGCCATGGAACGCCTTGGGATTCCCCTGGAAGAGTTGGCCCAAGTGGCTGGGGAGAGCAAAGTCTGGGCCTCTTGACTTGGGCTGCTGCCCCTGCGACCAAACTCCAGATAAGCGGAAGAAAATGGATGGATGGATGGATGGATGGATGGATAGATGGATGGATGGATGGATTTGATTGTGGTGGTTTACATTTAAATTCAGTTCAAATACAAAATGGACCATCTAAAAACACTAAAACTGCAAAAACAAACAACAATTATTTTGTACTTTGGCATGAAAATGATGACAGCCTGTGAGGATAATAAGCAAATACAGCCACAATTATAATATGCACATTTTTCGAAAAGCAATGTGTGACTGAACCTGTTGATTTGTTTGTTGAAGTAGAGAAGGTAGAGGAGTCCCAGTACTACCACTTCCACCCTCAACTGTGCGTTCATGTCCAGGGTTGCAAGTGCATAGGACAGGGGTATTCAATTCAGGTCCTGGAGGGCCTCCAGCACGGAGAGTATCCAGCACGTTTTAGTGGTTACTCTGCTCCAACACACTTGATTCAATGGCTGAATCACCTGTGCAGCAGCTCATCAAGCTCTGCAAAAACCTGTTAATCACCTCCTGATTGAAACCAGGTGTTAAAACAGAGTTAAAACTATGTGCTGGATACCGGCCCTCCAGACCCAAAACTGATTACCCCTGGCGTCTTTGCACACTTGATTCGCACTCCGCACTGATGCAGACTTCAGCAGGTTTTACCCACAATCCATTGCTGAATGGGGATATTGAGAAGAAGGAAGTGCGATGGCTCAAGCACCCTTACTCAAAATATGTATTTTCACGTATAATTGTCAAAAAATTTAGAATTTTATTATTGTGTACATATATGATCACAATCCAGTGTTTCTCTGTTGGAGAGATGCATTACATGTCTCACTGTCCCAAATCAGCTATTATTTTCACACTTGTGTATATGCAATACTGTACACTTCCTCCAAGTGCACATTGCTGAGGACCGTAAGGTGCAGTGCGAGTATTTGGACTGGGCCAGAGACATGGGAGGACAACTAGGAGACTGGACTAAACAGAACAAAAATACTGTAAAACAAAACAAGAAGATTACTAGAAATTAAAAGGAAGGGTGAAACTAGAAAATGAAGTAAACAAACAGGGTGGGCAGGTTAATGACAATAACAGAATAAGAAAGGAAGCTAAAGATACTATAAAGAACTGGAGGGGCAAAGAAATCCTAATAAAGACACTAATAACTAAACGCTGGGGCAAAATGGAACATAAACCACTACAAACAAACAAACAAACACACATACAGAGGTCAAAGGTCATAAGGGAAAAACTGAGGAGGAATCTGGGGGAGTGAATAGCTGAGGATGACTGGGAGAGGATAAGTGGGCAGGTAGGAAAACCAAGAGGCAGCTGAGATATAAACACAAACTAAGGGATGAGGAATGAAGGGGCTAGGGGAGACGTTAGGTTATGCATATAACCACTGTTCTTTGAAGGAGAGGAACGAGGTACAAGTAAGGTACTATAGGACATCACGCCCTCGTGTGGCCTGGCTGAAGACACATTTAATCACGCCTGTAAGGCAAATGAAAGTGATGCTGTGAGGAGGCCCCGCCCTCCACTAATAAGCGACCGCATCACTGTCATTCCTCAGTTCGATGGCCGCTCTTCACAGAGCTGGGCTGTGAAATGGGGTAGCCCTGCATTGTACCTTGTTCCTCTCCTTCAGGGAACAGTGGTTATATGCATAACCTAACATTCCCTTTCAGTCGATTCACTCGGTACAACAAAGGTACTATGGGACCTATCGAAACGCCCCATGAGCAGCTATCAAACCTGGCCTGACATTGCAACCTAAGATGGCAAGTCAGATCCAGCAGAGAGAACTGCATGGGCCACCGAAGGGGCCAAAACATCCAAGCTGTAAAACCTCACAAAGGTGTGGGGTGTAGCCTAGCTTGCAGCTGAGCAAATGTCACCAACTGAAACACCTTTAAACAGCGCCCAAGAAGCAGCCACACCCCTAGTAGAGTGTGCCCTGATCCCTAGGGTGAGCTGGGAGCCAGTGACGCTGTAACACAGGGAAATGGCCTCCACAATCCAATGAGAATGTTTTTGCTTTGACAAAGCTTTAGCCATGGAGGGTTTGGCGAAACACACAAACAGTTGGTCTGTTTTACTGATACTCTGAGTGTAATTTATATAAGCCTGCAGAGCACGAACCAGGCACAGACAATGCAGTCTCCTCTGCTCCTCAGAGGCAAAAGGAGGACTACTGAAGCCCAAAAGCTCAATGGTCATGGAACCGTAGTTGAGCGGGATGACCTTAGGCAAATATGCAGCGTTCAGTTGCAGAGTGACCCCTAGCTCCATCTGATGACATTTTCAGACAGGAAGAGTGAACTGAAAGAGCATGAAGGTCTCCCACCCTTTTAGCCGATACGAGGTCTAAGAGCAGAGCAGTCTTATAAGACAGAAGCTTCATACTGATCGATTCAATAGGCTCAAATGGGGGACCACACAGGGCCTCCATCACCAAAGCAAGGTCCCAAGAAGGGACAGATGATCTATTAACGGGTCTGCGAAGCCCTTTCATGAACCGAACGGCTAAAGGGTGAGCGCCAGGAGAAACTCCATTAAAAGATTCATGGCAAGCCGAAATGGCTTCTAGGTAGACCTTTAAAGTGGGGAATGATAAGCCCTTGTCCAGCAGATCCTGTAGAAATGACAGAATGTCCACAATGGAACTCTGTGAGGGAACTACTGACCTGCTCAGACACCACACTTAAAAAGCCTTCCACTCATAGGCATATAAACCCCTAGTGGAGCATGCTCTTGAGCTCTGAATGGTATTCACCACAGCCGGGGGAAGACCTGTAGCTAACAGGTTGGACCCTTCAGTAGGTAGGCCTGCAGCTTCCATAGATGTGGGCGAGGGTGCAGCACTTCCCCTTGTGCCTGTGACAGAAGGTCCTGTCTGATGGGGAGCTTCCATGGGTGTGGGGTGTGTGTGTGTGTGTGTGTGGGGGGGGGGGGGGGGGGGGGGGCTATCATCAGACTGATGATCTCTGGGTACCAAGACTTTGTGGGCCACTGAGGGGCCAACAAATTCAGAGATGTGCTCGACTTGCGCACTCTCTCCAGTACTGCTGAAATCAGTTCCACCGGCGGAAAAGCGTAGAGGAGAACGTTGGGCCAAGGGTGCGCCAGAGCATCTGATCCCATTGGAGCAGTCTGATCCGTCAGGGAAAAGAACAGGGGATAGTGTGTGTTTGCGTTTGACGCAAACAGATCCACCACTGCCCTGTCGAACCTCAGCCAAATCTGGGACACCACCTTGGGGTGGAGCCTCCATTCCTTTGACAGAGGTCCGCCCCTGGAGAGCAAATCTGCCCCGTGGTTGAGGTACCTGGGAACATAAGCTGCTCTGAGGGACAGGAGATTCAGATTGCACCAGTGCAGCAATGTGTGGGTCAGATTCAGTAGAGGAAGAGAACGTTTTCCTGCCTGTCTGTTTACATATGACACCACAATTGTGTTGTCTGTGTGCACCAGCACTTGTCCTCTCAGGTGATGACTGAAAAGTTTCAGGGTCAGAAACACGGTTAACAGTTCCAGAAAGTTGATATGGAACCTTGACTGAGTCGAGGACCATACCCCTCTCACCGCCAAATCCCCACACGGAGCCCCCCTCCAGCCTCTGAGGGAAGCATATGTGGTCACCACTATGCGTTCTGACACCCTCCCGATAGGGGAACCCTGGCAGAACAGCCCTGGTTCTCTCCATGAGAGGAGAGCTACCATGCAGGCTCTGGTGACCGTCAACCTCCGGTGGAGATGACGTGAAGGATGGAGATGATGAGAGCGGACCAAACGCTGGAAATGTCGCATTTTTAACTGTCCGAGAGGCACCACGGCTATGGAGGAAGCCATCCTCCCCAGCAACTGTAGAGCTGTGGAGTGTTAGTCTGGCTCCCAGCTGAAAGCGCGCTAAGCAACTGCATAGCACGGCTATTCGCTAGTCCGAGAGACACGCTCTGCTTGACCGAGAGCAAATTTCCAGCCCAAGGAAGGAGAAACTCTGACTCGGAACTAGAAACTTCTTTCTGTAGTTCACGGAAAACCCCAGGGCTTGAACGTGGGAAAGTACCTGTGCAGTGTGAGCTTCTGCCTGTGTTCGGGGACTCTCTACTAGAGCCCAGTCGTCTAGGTAACCAAGGATCCGGAAGCCCTCCTCCCTTAGGGGGGCTAGTGCGGCTTCCACACATTTCGAAAAGGTGCGGGGAGAGCTAACCCAAAAGGCAGAACCATGTACTCGTAGGCCTTCCCTTCGAAAGCAAATCGCAGGAACCGCCTGTGATCGGGGTGGATTCCCACATGGAAATAAGCATCTGTGAGATCGATCGTAGTAAACCAATCTCTGGGACTGACTGTATCCAGTAGCTGTTTGAGTGTTAGCATTTTGAACCTGTACGTGCGCAGATACGTGTTTAACACATGCAGATCCAAAACAGGGTGAAGTCTGCCCCCCTTTTTCGGGACAACAAAGTAGCGGCTGTACCAACCTTTGTTTGTGACCTCGACAGGGACCGCTCGAATAGCTCCTTTCAACAGTAGAGTCTGAATTTCCTTCTGTAACACGACCGCAGCTTCGGTATTTACACATGTCTGCACAACAGAGGTAAATACGGGTGGTTTGACCAGGAACTGCAGTCGGTAACCCATGGCAACTGTGCGCTCGACCCAGGGGGACACTGCGCATGCTCGCCAGAGGTGAAGTTTCGCCACGAGGCAACCGCTCAGCGCCCTGGTAGGGGAGCTGCTGCCCTCTACCGGAAAGGGAGGCTTTCTGAACATCATGTCTGCCACCGGAGGAAAGTTGCTGTTCTCCAGCAGAGCGGGAGAACACAGCTTTTCCCGCTCCCACAGAGGCCGATTGCAGACAGGATTCGATGTGAAAATTGAGCTGTCGTTCACCAGCGGAGCGGGTTGACGCAGCTTTATGGGACCAATTTGAGAAGCATTGTTGAGACACATTGCATTGCTTCCCAACAGGGTTCAAAACCCAAACAAGGTGGGTCCCGGGATCAGGACGACTGTTTCTTCTTGCGGCTCACAGAGAATTTCTGTGACTCCCCAGGAGGGCCTTTATTCCAAGCGGAGTGGCGAAGAGGGAAAGAGGGAAAGACAGGGTCCGAGCTGGGACCAAGCCCTTTGCTGCCGCTGGAGAGGCTGTCCTCTGAGGTGGAGGAGAGGTCAGGTTCTTCCTGTCGGACCCAGGTGCCGTGCGCCACCCTTCCCGCCTGGGGATGATGGAGCATAGCGCCTCAGTCTGTTTCCGCTGGGCCTCGAACTTTGTCTGAATAGCGTAGAGGGACTGACCAAACAGACCACTGGGCGAAACAGGCTCGTCCAGGTAGTTAGCCCTGTTCCTGTCGGGGACATTAGAAAGAGTCAGCCACAGCCACTGCGAAACTTCAGTCTCCCAGGAGATGTTGTAGGAGCTTCATGCGCCGTTTGAGCGTGGGACTGCGGAGTCGGCAACAGAACTCGCAGGCCTCCGGGTCCACAAGCGTGGCGTGGAGAATTCCCAGACAAACCGGGCACACTTTGTGTAAGTCCTTCTCATGAAGAGAGAATCCACAGCCCTGAGGACAGGGGCGCGAAGTGCCTTTCCGTGAAGCGACGTCCGACACGGTGCTCATTGCGAGACACACAGCAGAACGAAGTGGAGAAGCTGAATAGCCACAAAAGATAGCGCTAAGGGGGCGGGAATGCTAGCCAGAAGGCAGTCCAGTCAGAGAGCGGTTAAGCTATCTTTCAATAGCGCAGCTAGTTGTCCGATGTTTTCTCAGCGAGGTGAAGAGCGTAAGAACTGAGGAATGACAGTGGCGTGGTAGCTTATAAGTGGAGGGCGGTGCCTCCACGCAGCGTCACTTTCATTTGCCTTAAGCCTGGTTTATGCTTCTCCGTCAGCTCCGCAAGGGACAGACACGCACGGATTGACGGAAGCGTTTTGCTTTTTCACTTCTCCGTCTCCTGGAGAGTGTTGCAAAGCAATTGCCCGGCAGGACCACAGAGGGCGTAGCGCTGTTCTGTGGTATCCTGTCATGTATCGGTCCAAGATCGTGTGTTTATATTGTGTTTTTTGTGTATATAAGAGACTTTTAACACGGACATATTTGTCTCTCATTCTCCCACCGCTTCATGCGCTCCCCACCTCTAAACCCACGTTTCCTGTCATTTCCGTCCACAAATAAAACGCTTGCTGCACATCTTTTCACTCCTCCAGTCACGGGAGGATGAAACGTTCATATTTTTAGAGTTTTTTCGAGAGGTATTCTTCAAGCTTCTCTGTGTCTGCCGCTTGTTAAACTCGGCTCTCTTTGCAATGGTGGCGCTGTAAACAACAGCGGCGTCCTAACCAATCACAAGCTTGCGTAATTTGTCTCGTTCGACGGATGTTTAAAAAAGTGGGCTCGACTCCGTACGTACTTGCGTGCCTGCCGGATCCCTATGCAAGGACGGATAATGGCGTTGCGTGTGCTCCGCACTGACGCAGACGGAGAAGCATAAATCAGGCTTTACAGGCGTGATTAAATGTGTCTTCAGCCAGGCCACACGAGGGCGTGATGTCCCACAGTACCTTCGTTGTACCGAGTGAATCGACTGAAAGGGAACAAGAGGACACAGGACATGACGGAAACACGACTTCTGTTCTGCTTTTACATGTTACATTATATTCTGAATACATACTGTCCTACATTCAGCCACACTTCTCACTTTTGTTGGACAATAGCTCTGATGTATTTACAGTTGTGGTAGTGAGGACAGTTCTGACAAATAAATGGCAATGGCATTTAAAAAGGGGAGTGATCGGGCTGTTTCAAAAGCTGAGATTAACCTTTAATGTTTTTAACACAATAACAGTTGGATAATTTGCTTAAAATAAAAAAAATAAAAATGAAAAAACAAAAGTCAACTGTGATTTGTGCCCTTAAGTCCTAAGTTAAACATGATAAACTCTGACACAATTAATCTCTTTAAACCACCTGTAGAGTCTTTCAGAAAACAGCTTGCTGCTCTTTTAGCAGACAGCTTTTTCTTCCTCACACAAAGCAGAGAGTTAACAAGCGCTGAAAGAAACAGGAGGCAAGTGCTCCTGCCTTTGTGGCCCCATCTTGAGTGGTGGGCCATAAGGGACGAGTGGTCTCAGTGAAGGGGGAGGGAGCTGGTTGTTAACTTTATACACTCTCCTGATACAGTTTTACTGATTTATGATCAAAAGTCTCTGAAATACAAAACAGAACAGTGAACTGTTTAGAGACATGTGAAAACTAATGTTTGTGTGGCATTTTGTGGCATGGTCAGCTAACCAGCTGGAATTCTATAAATGTATCATTTACCAACAGTGCCGTCTAATGTGACAAAATAAAGAAAATCACAGCCTTTTATTCAGACACGTGCTTTTATTCTAAAGTTTAAACCAAATCTGAAAAAAAAAGCTCAAAATATTTCAAAATAGCCCTATTCAACTGTGAGAGCAAACCCCTCAGAGATACAACTTTTGGTTCAGTCAGGTGATATGGATGAATATAAGTTGATCTCCAACAGTTTGGTTTTATCTGTTTTTATGTATAGTTTTAATTTACAATGAATGCACCTTTTTACCTGTATTGTGATTGGGTTTTAATTTGTTTTGTGTCGTTGACCGAGGCGCCTTGGTCAGCTCCCATGCTGTATTAATAAAGTGGTATGGTATGGATATGGTGGTTACCCTGTTTAAAATCAGGTAAACGTGTCACTTTACATTAACCCTTTAAAACAGATATGTCAATATAATCGAAAACTATATTTTTATTAGGCTATTTATTGGTTAAAGCTACAATGGCTAATTAGCTTAAAACATTTTTTCATGCCTCTTAACAACCTTCTAACACAGTATACCTATAAATATATTGTGAAGATGAAAAAATGAAGAAAAATGATAAAGTGGTTCTTTAGCATTTGTCAAAAATCTTCCGTCAATAACACGTTTAGGACTGAAAGCAATTATATGACCATCTGGTTGTATCTCCAAACCACAGCACTTCTGCACTTCCCTGCATCCCCCACTCATTACGTACTCGGGTATTTAGCAACAGAACCCCACTGGTGTGAAAGATTCACAGCTCAGTAATATCAGAGAAGGAGAAACAGCTGGCTGCTACCACTTCAACTTTAGGACAAACTACCAGAGTCTTAAAAAGGAAAACACCATTTCAAGTCATGGACGACAAGAGACATTTGGACCTCGAAAAGGGCAACCGGTGTTTAGCGCTATCTCGTTTCCTCTTGAAATGCAGGTGGCTGGTTAACAGCTGAAATGTCTGGGGGGGGGGGGGGGGGGGGGGGGGGATTGTGTTCAAAACTTAGCTTGTTGTGTAGATTTGCCAAAGTGGCCTTGATGTTATAATAACAATAATATGCTTATTTAATGCATTTTATGATGTAGTAGGGAGTCTAAGTCACGCCCATCTACTTCCGGACATTGGGTCCCTGGAAAAACGACAAAATGAATGCAAGTCAATGGGGCTAAAAACGCTATTTTCTAATTCCGCTTCTCATGTGCCATGGATTTCACATACGATGTCTGTGAATTTTAAAAAAGCTTTTTGATACCAAGAAAGTGCAACAACATTATTTTAGGTTTTGTGTGAAAATAAGTCCAGGACTACAGATGCGCTTCACGAAACTGACATCATCGAACCAGACACGAAGAAAAACAGGGAAAATGGCTGTAAGTTCAGCAAACTTCAAATCCTTCCTTCAGGAGGAAAAAAAACACCATAAATCTGGCTATTTGTTAGGTAGCAGCTACGCTAGGGGAGAGGAGATCATGTGGTGATGTCATGAATGTGACGTGCTGATTTCTAGTTTGTAGTCATACTAATTACAAACATTTACAAGCTGAGAAATCTCAAAGCATGTGACTGGTGTGGTCAAAACACCCATCACTACTTTTCATTTAAATTGCAGTACAACATGTGTGCGATCCAGAGTCTTAGGCAAAGTGGATTAGAAAAAATCTCTTTCAGCCTCATTGACTTGCATTAACTTTTTTGCTCTTCCGGGGACCCATGAGCTGACCGGAATAGGAGGAGACTTAGGCTCCCTATTATGCAACAATGTAAAAATTAAAGCTGCATTCCGGAGTTTTCGATTTTTTCAGAAACCCGTAAGTGATTATCTCATCATGAACTGTGATAAAATGTAAGCAACCCGTCTTTTTTTTTTTTTTGCTAAGCACGCCCCCTGCCCCGCAGAGCTCCATTCAATAGGGAACTGAGCGCCAACCAGAGCTAACCAATTGTGTTAGACTACCGCTTATTTGCTTCAAATTTAAGGAATACCTCAGTTGATGCAGAGCTGATGAACTTTTCACAGACAAGTAAGTCTCTAAAGTATAAAAATATGAAAACACAACATGACATGAGAATATTACTCGTAAAACAGCGTGTTTTAGCTCTATTTGTCAGCTAAGAAGCACATTTAAAAACAGAAACGTGAAGTCGCGATCTTAACAAACAGAGGAATAGACTTTATGTGTGATGTGCTTGTCAGCCACTAGATGGTGCCATCAGATAAGAGAATGACTCCGTAAAGAAGCTTCAAAGGTGTAAGAAAACATGCCTTTGACACATGTAGTACTCAGATGTTCCACTAGAGGGCAGAGCATTTGACGTATAAAGAAAACACTATATATATATATATATATATATATATATATATATATATATATATATATATATATATATATATATATATATATATATGCGACGGTGGCACAGGAGTTAAGTGCTCAATTGGAAGGTTGCAGTTTCGAGCCCAGGTCAGTCTGTCGCTGTCATTGTGTCCTTGGGCAAGACACTTAACACACGTTGCCAGCTGGTGGTGGTCGGAGGGACCAGTGGCGCCAGTGCTCGGCAGCCTCGCCTCTGTCAGTGCGCCCCAGGGCAGCTGTGGCTACATTGTAGTTCATCCCCACCAGTGTGTGAATGGGTGAATTACTGACTGTGTTGTATAGCGCCTTGGAGGGTTCTAGGACTCTAGAAGGCGCTATATCAAATAAGGCCATTTAAATGGTAAATGGCCTGTATATACCATATATATATATATATATATATATATATATATATATATATATATATATATATATATATATATATATATATATATATATATATATATATATATATATATATATACTGTACACACACACACACACACACACATATTGATAATAAATAAAATTAAAATATTTACTATTTAAGATCTCCAGAGACATGGAGAGGGTTCTATCTCTTCACTGAGATCCTTACAAAATTCAGCTGTGTTGTTTCATCATAAATATCAATGCATGAGACAGAAAGGAACACTCTTTGTTAAATAATTAGTTTTGTAGCCTTGAGTAAAATATGTCACATACATTTAAAGTTATACACTTTTGACATCCGGACTATATTACGCTAATTGGATTAAAATACAGGCAACAGGGTCCAGTCAGTATTTATAACATCTACTGTATTTTTATGTTTTGTTTAAAGTGATCAAACCACCAGAACCTTTGTAATTTTAGGTTGCTACGTTAAAATGTTGATGGTAATTCAAGACTTTTAAAGTAACAGCTCGATTATAATGCAACGCTTAAATATCACTAAACAGAAATGGAAAAATAAGAACATCTCTGAGAAAAGTGTGGACTAAGTTGTGGCACAGCCGCTGAATCGTTGCGGCAATAAACGGAGCTACAGACACACAACATCCGGGCAATAGTAAGCTTGCGCAGAAACGGAATGGCGGAGGTAAGTGAGCGAAAACGAGGAATCTAATGACCCGAAATGTTAGAGAAACGGGCAGAATTAGACCCGTGTGTCAACCCGAACGGAACGCAGAACTGGCGACGATTTCTCCGGCTGGTGAGCGCCGACCGAAAGAGACCTCTTGAGGTATTTAGGACCGGGAAGCGGGAGGGGGCAGAAAGGCAGAGCGAGCCTCTCCGGCGTATCGTGTCTCTCCGCGTTCTTGGCGTTAAAGAGCCATTCCCCCTCCGCCTTGGTAGCGCCAGCCGTGGAAAACAATAGAGATCCCGGTCGGGGCAAACACGGTGGTGCTGAACTATTTCAGGTGCGTCCTTTCGACGACTTTAAAAGTTTGGGGACGTGACACGAGCCGGTGGCGGTAAAGTCCGAGCGTGTTCCTCGGGAAGGCTGAAAACTAGTTGTTTCCTTCTCGTGGCTCGTCGCGAGCCGGGTGGAGGAAGAGCCGTTCAGCACCAAGTCACAGGAAAGCGCCCCTGGTCAGACAGACAGAGAGACAGACAGCGTCCGGCGGACCGGGACAGATGTCTGAGGACTTTCTGTGTCGTTTGAAGTAGGACGAGTTTAACTTTATGTGTTTGTGTTTAAATCCTCGTGCGGACTTTCTGCCATCCAGAGTTTTTCTTCTTTGCGCTACTTTGTTCTTGTTGATCAAAGTGATGAAACAGAGTGGATCAGAGGCCTACTACAGCCTGACTTAGAAACATGCTACTTCAGCAGGAAATCCAAAAAGTGAAAAAATAAGATGTTTTCTGATTTGAGGAAATTGCTTTCATTAAATCACAAAAGTCGAGGCAGTATGCCAGATTTATGTGTTTAAAAGCAGCTTGGGCCTTTTCCTCAACTTCTCAACCAAACTATGTTTTTACATTGTAATCTTCAAAGCAATAATTTATACAGATTTTCTTTTCTTTGGGCTTTTTCTGAGGTCATGTACAGTAGTGAGGGGAATTCTGGCTCTTTTTAGAGAGCCGGTTCTTTTGGCTCAGCTCACCAAGTGGCTCCTCAGATTTTCTGTTGCGTAGAGTACATTTATAACCAAAATAATGCAAAACTATGTGTAAAATGATTTACTGATGTAAAAAATGCAATATATCAAATATGTATAATTTCTATGGATTTAATAACTGAACACTTTAAGAAATCTCCACTTTCCGACTGCTGGCGCTTATCTTCTCACGTCTTCTTCACACTTTCCTCTCTCTCGCTCGCCTTTTTCCTCTTCCTCATTCCATCTCGTCTCCCTCCACCCGCATGTGCTCTGCTGTGTCTCTGAGTCTGATCCTCCCTCTTCCCCACCTCTACTGCTCTGTGTGTGGACAGTCTGGACACGCAGTTACACATGTTGACCAATCGCCTGTAGCTTTCACCAACGCGAGAGGGGAGGGGACGGCTCTCAATGACGAGCCGGCTCCCGTTGTTCACTTCAAAGAGCCGGCTCTTAAAGCCGGTTCGTTCGCGACCGACACATCACTAATGTACAGATGTAGCTGGGTTTTTGTAAAACTGAGTATCCTACCCCACCCATCTAGGGAAAATATAGTTCTACATCACCTTGTTTTCAGCTGATCAGTGTGTGTTTTCAATGTGAAGCACATTCATAGGCATGCCAAGTGAATAGGTGGCAGTAGTTCCCCAAATTGTTGGCGTGTTTGCCAGAAAACCTTTCCTTGGATGTGGAGGGCAATAACCATCCTTAACGGTGTCCTTTGCCTGTAGTCTTCTACGTAGAGCAGTAATTGAGCTTGAAAAAACAAGCAGGTGAGTGTAAACTAGGGTTGTTACGGTAACCGGTGTAGCGGTAAACCCCGGTAAAAAAAGTTGACAATAATAATAACCATCTTGTTTTTAAAAAAAAATTATCTCGGTGGGTTACCGTGGCTGCGGTGTAGGTGCGGTGACCCTTACCAGCCACCGTATCATCTGCTGAAGTTGCCGGCGGCACATGTGCACTTTGTTGTTTACAACCAAAACTTTCTTGAAGCTAAAGCTGAAATAATGGCCAGAGGAGGAGACAGCAGTGCTCAGGACATTTATTATCCCTCAAAGAAGACAAAGTTGGAAGTATTGTCATTTTTTGGATATTTGAAGAATGCCGAGGGACAGTTGATAGAAGACGGCTATCCTGTTTGCAGCACGTGCAGGAAAAGTGTTTGTGAAAGGCAGCAGCGCTTCAAATCTCATGACACATCTGCGTGACCATCACCCACAACTCTACAGTCAACGCAAGGCAAGCTAACGTTAGCGTTTTAGCTAAAATGCGTGATCCGAGGATTTGGGTTGAGGGAGAAAGCAACGAGTCGCTATATAAAGCAGCTGCAGCGCCGCTACCTGCATATAAACCGTGTCGCCGACACCCCCATGTTGAAATGACGCTATGCATTACGGGGCTCCCAGGGGCAGATAAGAGTCGGTCTCTCTCCGAGAATAATTACGAATTTAAAAATGATTACTGCGTGATGACATTTTCCCAAATCTGCAAAGCTCACCGGAAGGACACAAACCGAGGACAATATTTTCCTGATATAGGGTTTATTACTCAAGTAAGGGCAAAAAAAGTATCTGATTAGAAGGCTACTTGAGTACTGAGTATCATCTAATCTAATATTTTTAAAATGATGACATCAAACAGACATAAAATAAGAAGTTATGGGCAAATATTGGTATTTTAATGACCAAAGGGGAAAAATGTAAACAAATAAACAACATAATTGCAAAATAACACATTTTAGGCAAAATTTAGACACAGACTGAGGACAATATTTTCCTGATATACAGGATTTATTTAGTTGTCTGAAAATGTAACACGTTTAAAAAAATACCGCAGTAATACCGAAAACCGTGATAATTTTGGTCACAATAACCATGAGGTTAAATTTTCACACCGTGACAACCCTAGTGTAAACACAGGTCACACGTGACATCAGAATATTTTTGTCGCAGGCAGTGACATTGCAAAACCTAAAACGCTGATTATATACGTACATGAGCAAATGCTGAAAGGAGAAATCACAGATGTTATAAGAAAGCCTGGCTCCTTAAGTGTAAAGGAGGCTTTTACAAATGTTTTACACATCTGTAGTGTTTAGGTCTGCAACATATTCTGAAAAACAAAATAACTGACAGCTTTTAGCACATGATTTTTCCGTCCCAACAGTGAATAGTGAATTTTGCAGTATTTTAGTTCAAAACATTATTTTGGAGACAGGTCTGAACTGCTGATAGTGCACATACAGCAGGTGAGACTTCAATCTTTGTTTTACAGTCTCAAATGGAAACACAAACAAAAAACAATCTCATACCAGCTTTAATTATCCAACACAACTTATAACATCTAACTAAAACATGTTACAAGTACAGTTCAGGACAAGTAAAACAAACAAAAACAAAAAAAAAAAAGGCTGAGAATTAGAAAGGATCACTCCCCAAAGTCAATATTTATTTGAACCACCTCTTGCTAGCCTTGAATCTGTAGGATACTTCTCTATCAACTTGGCACATCTAGATAGAGCAATATTTGACCACACGTCTTTATTAACCATTCATGTTTGGTCATACTGGATGGTAGGTGTTGGTGGACTACAATCTTCAAATCTCTCCACAGAGTTTTGATGGGATCTAGGTATGGGCTCTGACTGGGCCACATGAGGACATCCACGTTTCTCCTTCAGCCACCATGTGCTATATTATACTGCTTGCTTCGCATCGTTGTCATGTTGAAGAGTTAATCTGCTGCCCACCTCCAACTTTCTGTCAGAGGGTAGCTGTATTTCTTCAATAATTTGATGGCATTTTGTCCCAGTGCATTTTTCCTCCTACCCAACAAAAGCCCCAGTCGCTGAGAAAGAGAAACATCCCCCACAACAGGATGCTGCCACCTTTATGCTTTACTGTTGGTATGGCGTGTTGTGCATGGGGAGATGCCTTGGATTTAGACCAAGTGTAACATTTGAGGTAGAGGCTAAATAGTTTAATTTTAGTCTCATCTGACCACAACACCTTTTTCTATTTGTCATCAGAAACTTCAAGGTACAAACTGGCATAGCTCAAACAAGCTTTAATGTGCCATTGAGCCTGTGAGGCTGAAGCGATAGCTCCCCCTCAGAAGAAATGTGGAATGCTGCCGTTGCCTTGGCAACTCTGTCCCCCTATCCCAGCCTGGGCGGGACTGCGACCGGTGAAGGCTGTTGAATCGTTCCAGGAGTCACTGTGCTCTCTAAACCCAACGACCTCCCTCCCCTGTCCAAACGGAGGTGATGAGCGCTGCTTATTGTGGCTGCATGCACTGATGTTTGGAGAGTCTTCTACCTACCTCCCCACCTAGTGGACACTTATGTTGTGTAATGTCTGAAGTCTGTTGCATTTCTGTCTGAGGTGTTTTTTATATAGCAAAGCTGCTCTCCCTGTGGAGGGTAACTCTGGAGTGCCTTTTTTCCCCTCCAACTGACTCAATCCTCATATATAAACCCCTCTGATCTCTATTAAGGTAGCTCGACTCGGGTTGCGAATTACCGCAGTCACCAATTCTTGTCATGTGTCTTTGCCTGTACGTATGTCTGATCTCAGAATTGTGTGTACTGAAACTCAATTTCCCTCTGGGATTAATAAAGTATCTTTGCATTTAATTTAATTGAATTGATTCAGAGCCACCTGTGAAATTTCACACTAGAACATTTCCATATTATGTGAATTATTTAAATGTTACCCATTTCTATAAGATGGACACAAAATGTGTACACATTGACAGCTTATTCATTTAGTAGAACTTTATTCAAGATTATTTAGCCCTAGCGAACATTTTCATGGCTATATGACTTTCAGTCATTTTACAGTACTTTCTTGCAGTAGTAGCTACACAAAACACACACACACGGCTAGGGATGCACCGATCAGTTTTTTTTGCTGCCGATCACCGATACCGATATCAAAGAATGCTGATACCGATACCGATGACGTGGATTGGCCAGAAATTTTCTACAACATTATAATGAGTGCTACAAACTACAAAATCTGGGAATAAAGGAAATGTAACCTAATCTAAAATGGTCTTTATTAAGGTTGTCACGGTGTGAAAATTTAACCTCACGGTTATTGTGACCAAAATTACCACGGTTTTCGGTATTATCGCGGTATTTTTTTTAAACGTGCTACATTTTCACACAATTAAATAAACCCTGTATGTCAGGAAATATAGTCCTCAGTTTGTGTCTAAATTTTGCCTAAAATGTGTTATTTTGCAATTATGTTGTTTATTTGTTTACATTTTTCCCCTTTAGTCTTTAAAACACCAATATTTGCCCATAACTTCTTATTTTATGTCTGTTTGATGTCATCATTTTAAAAATATTAGATCAGATGATACTAAGTACTCAAGTAGCCTTCTAATCAGATACTTTTTTACCCTTACTTGAGTAATAAACCGTATATCAGGAAAATATTGTCCTCGGTTTGTGTTCTTACGGTGAGCTTTGCAGATTTGGGAAAATGTCATCAGGCAGTAATCATTGTTAAATTCATAATTATTCTCGGAGAGAGACCAACTCTTATCTGCCC